AATGCATGTTCAACGTATAACAGTGCAAACAATCGCTTTATTTTCAATGTGTGTAGTTAAATAGCAATTGTCTGTCCCTTTTATACTTGAGAGCCAAACATGCCATTTCGATCGAAGACGAATAATTGCATTCCGAAAGGATCTCATTATTTTGATTCACCGTCCAACATCCCTTTGAATTGTTCATCATACCATGACTGACAACGGACTGTATCGTTATTTCATGCTTGAAGTACATTTTCTGATGTATTAAAATCTAGTTTCAAAAATAGAAAAGGTGATTGAGCCGGAGGGTATCCGATCACACCCGACAACATGGACACGGTCACATTCAACAGGTCCCTGCCTAGCCTAATAACCTCGCCAGCCTTGTGTGTATAGAACTATAAACTGCCAATCGACCCCGAGACACGTACCCTGATTCTCTGGCCACGTTGTCTGTTGACTGAGATAAAAAACAAAACATAAATGCTGCAGGCTAAAAATATTGATACTCTACTCTAGTCTGTAGTCTATATTTTAATCAAACAGCGTGGAGCCACCGAGCATTGGCAGTTTCGCACTGGCAGGAAGCTATATTGCCACAGGATCAACGTCCACAAGAAGTCAGTCAAGTCACAATTTTCCTACGGCGTATGTATAAATAAGTATTGTGTATTTACTCTGAATTAGAATTGTGCACAGCTGCACGTACTGTACTCTCATGACTCTTTGTACGTTCTTGTACTTTCATTTTTCAACCCCGATTTTTAAAAATAATCTTCACCGATTGTTTCATAATTTATCTTGTTCATATTTATATAAATACTTCTATCACTACCTAAATTTATATAATTTGTTTTAAATAAAAAAACAATTAGTGTGTACAATTTTCAATTGCACATACCTTGTTTACTACATACCTCCACGGAGAGGGGCTAAAATTCTCTGACCTGGTATACGACAAAGACATGACTTCATAATAAACTAGTCTCCGACCCTTTTCTTAAGAGAATATCATGACGTATATCAGACATCTGGGTGTATTAAAAAAAGCGAGGTTAGTAGTTTCCGACGTTCTTGTCATGTCGTCATAGCGAAAAGTGCTGTCGAAAACCAGCCCATACAATCTGTATGTAAATACTAAATATAGGAACTACCCAAGTATTCTGAATTTTTATTGGTCAAAAATGGAACCTTCTCTGATAGACTGCGTCACTTTGCGACTGTGTCAATCAGGTCTGATTTCAATCAGCCAACAATGGATTGTGCCATTGGTGATTTACTGCGCGCGTGTGGAGTGGTCAACAAAGTTAAGGAAAATAAATGTTT